GGGAGAAGTGTTGTGTTAATCATAAAAACAACCAGCTCTTTGGAGGATCCCTATAATGCGTCCTGGGACTAGTGGTGTGAAATGACATAAAAGACAGCGAAGAAAAGGAGCTAAGGAGTAAGAAGTCAAGAATTCCACCCAACGCTCGTTTACTGAGCGCTAGCCAGATGCAGGGCCCTGTGGTAGGCACCATGGTGGGCTCCGTGCTGGATGGACACTCCCTAAGGCAGAGGTGAGGAACCTGCGGCCTCCAGCCCACGAGCGGCCTTCTAGGTCCTCAGGTGTGGGGACTGAGTCCAAGTTTTGCAGAACAAATCCTTCTATTAAGGGGGTTTGTTCTGTGAAGTTTGGATTCAGTCATAGGGCCACATGTGGCCTCGAGACCCCTTCCCTAAAGCACCTAAAGGAAGCTCACTGTTAGCAGTTGCTGTCAGGACACAGAGCAGCGCCCAGACCAGCAGGAGGTTAGTCAAAGAAGACTCACAGAATCACAGAAGCCAATAGCTGAAGAGACGTCAGTGCCCGTCTCATCCGACTCTCCCAAAACTGACACGCGGCCATCCAGCCTTTACCCAAAGACCTCTGAGGAGCAGGAACCTGCCGCCTCTCGGTGCCGCCCGACATCCTGAAGCTTCAGTTGACCTCGTAGCCATTTCCCTCCGTTGGTCTAGTTTCTGCCTTTGGGGGTAAAACAGAATGGGTCTGATCCCTCCTTCATGGATGATTCTTCAAACATCTGAAGGCAGCTGTTATGGCCTCCTGAGCCTTCTCTTCTCAAGGCTGAGCCTCTGCAGGGCCTTCAAGCATGGGGCCCACAACTGAAGACGATGCTCTAGAGGAAGTCTACCAAGGGCGGAGGAGAGTAGGACCATCTCTTCTCTCTTTCCCATATGTCCCTTTTAGTGAACTCCAAGACCAGCATTAGCTCTTCTGGCAACCACATCACACCATTTCATTGCCTATAAATCCATTCTTTTCCATTCCCTTTGCAATGATCTGTATCCAAGTGAAAACTCAGGTCATAACCGATTCAGATGATTACAATTGTCTCATCACTGTGGTCCTCACCTTCTGTCACTTTTCTTCTGAAATAGTACCCAAATCAAGCGCCATTTTGATCATATGCATTCCCTTCCTCAAATCTCCATCAATAACTTTTTGAAAAAAACAAACTATCGACCCTAGGCACTCTGTGGCCTTCCACCAGCTGGCCTCCTGGCATCTTTTCTCCTGGTTCCTCTGCACCCACCTTCCACTCTAGCCAAGCAATATCCCCTGTCTCCACTTCTGCTCAACCTTCTCATGTGCCGAAGCATACACAAAGTACACTGGAAGGCATTCTAACTCTCCTCTCCTAAAGCACACATCTCTGCCTTCATCTAAAACATAATGACTAATTGTACCACCTCCCAGACAAATAAGTATAAGCAACACCCATTATTTTTATATCTTCCCATATATTTCATCAATGGGTATCAGTAGCTATCAATAGCAAAGTGTTGATCAATGATACGTAAAGGAAGGGTCAGTTCATGAATTCACATTTCAGTTCACAGGATCATGTCACAGTCATAGTTAGAGAAGGAAGAACCCTCAGAGACCATCTAGTCCAACCCACCCATTTTAGAGATGAGGAAACTGAGGTTCAGAGATAAGAAGTCTCTGCTCACCCATGTAGGAAGTAGCTAAGCCAGAATTTGAACCCATATATTCAGACTTCAAACCCACTGTTCTTTCCCGGGTACCATGTTGCCTATCCCATTCATTTGTGGTTGTGGGTGTTAATGCATTAAAATATTTACAAAGGCTAATAAAGTGATAGCCCCTACCTGTGTTTGCTTTTGTATTCCCCAAAGCTAGGAGTTTTCACATCCTTCTGAAGGAGTCTTTAACATTTGCATATATACTGTACGGGTGTACTTGTATATAGGTAAACATGTGTCTGCATGCTTACCTGGATATTTATGATACAAACGTTGCCACACACACATGTACACATGCACAGAAGCATACAGACATTGAAATTCATACCCTCCCTCATCTGGAAGCTCCCTCCAGCTATGACCTGACAGGCCCAGCCACCAGCCCCAGCTCTGCCTCCCCATTAACCTGTGGACCCCTTACAGAGGGGGCTGTGTCTTCTCCACATTTGGTGGGTTCTTTGCTGGGCTTCATATGACATCCAAAAGAACAACACAAAAAGGATGCTCGAAAAGTAACAAGTATGTCTGAGGCACCTTCATAAAGAACTCCTGTTCTTCCTTCTGCCTAGGTCTTCCCCACACAGGGCAGGAAAATTGCCTGTTTTATTCATTTATCTCGGGGTCACTGAGGTAGTCCCTGTGGACACCGCCGCCTTGTCATTTTCTGACTCACAAAGCATAGCACAAGCGTAGGCAGCGAAGGCTTTCTTCAGCCTATCTATCATTAAGCCTCACCACGATCTCCAAGAAACACAGAACCGAAGGGAATGTTAGGTCACCATGGCTTCCTTCCGCCCTTAGCTTCTTAGTTAAATTGACAATAGGATGGCAGTTAATAGCCCAGCTTTGCCCATCTCCTATTGGACAAGTGTTTATAGTACTTCATAAAAACAGAAACTCTACATTTCCTTCTTACAGGGCCGGATGGCGCCCATAGTCAGCTGGATCCCAAAACCAATCTGTACCAGAACGAAAATAAGGAGCTAGAAGGAAAGGCCTCAACAAGAGGCATTTGCCAACATTGGCCAATCTCACTGAGCTTGGTCCCCAATGGCTACTTTTTTGTGACTCCTATGATGGAGGAATAATGAGAAATAGCTACAACAAAACTCTTTACCCAGTAAATACAAACCAAAGTGCTGGACCATACTCCAAATTATTACAATCTCCCCCCTATAGATTGCATTGTGTCCACTGTTATTGGATAGCTCAATTGCTAGTTCGTTTGTAGCCAACTCCTGGGTGTTGCTTAGATCCAGACAAGACTACTTTCAGGGTTTTTTTTTTCTTGAACATCATAATATAAAATAATCTGTCTGTAAATGATTTGTTTATTGTACTGAGAAATAATTTTTCCAAATCTTGTTCTAGTGTGACATTCAATCAAGATTGCATTTGAGTTGTGATAATTACCTACTTGTGTGAAAGTTGCTAATATTGTTTTTCAAGAAATTGAGAAATGAAAACCTTTTATTCATGAAAACCTTAACTGCAAAAGCAGCATCTTTGGGGGCTCCGAGCTAACACTGCTGAATTTGCATGTTGAGGCCGAGCAAGTATCAGGCACGATAAAAACAAGTTTCACTGTATTTCTAGATTATCCAGGACAGTATTGCAGTGAATAACTATTCTGCATGGCCAGCAAATAGGGCGTTCTGGTTAATACAATCCAGGCTAATATGACTTTGTATATAAGCCATATACAGATTATAAATTACCAAATAATTAGGACTTTTAAAAAAATTCTCAACACCAACAGTATAGAGTCTGGGCTCTGGTCCTGGCTCAGACATTTACTAGCTGCGTGACCCTGGGCAAATCACTTAAGCTCTCTGAGATTCCATTTCTTTATCTGCTAAATAGGGATGATATTCATTCATGGGATTGTTGTGAGAAAAGAGCTTTCTTTGTACACCTTAATGTACTATATAAACATGTGCTTTTGTTATACCAACTATGATGCAACTTTTCTATCCTGATTCCAAAGAGAGTACAGACTCACAGTGAAAGCTCAGCGCCATCATTATAAACGCCAATTATCTTTGGCCTGTAGGTCACAGCCTCATCCTTGCAAGCATTGGGCTCTTTCTGTGCGCTGTGGCGCCATGTCAGCATCCTGAAGACCCTAGAACTGTTCATATGTGGATGTTCTTCCCAAACCTTCCCCCTTTGTCATTTGTACTATTATAACCTGGCATTCTTAGTCATACATAGAGCTCTTTCTTTCATCTGGAAACTCTCGAGAGTTCATGGAAACACCACCTCTCTTTTGTTACCAAATTAGCTTTCTGATATAGGAAGAGCTAGAAGGTTTCCATCCTGTGGAGAGCTATTTTATTGTGCCAAAAAAATCTAGTACTAGAGTGCTACTAATGAGGTTTTGGGGTGCTGGGACCCCAAGAATGCCAAGGCAGAGTTGTCTGGAATGAATTCATACACTCAAGCCTTGTCTTAGTCAAGCAGCAAAAAGTTTATTATAAATAATGCCTTAGCAAAAGTGGTCAAGGATCCTTATGGAACCTGTGAGAGAGTCAGGATGGTGCTGGGACTTACATGGGAAAGGAATGTCAGGGATACTAATTAGGTAATCTAGGGGTCCAGGTGTCTTTGGGAGCTATGGATGGAAAAATGTAGGGAGTATACATTTGAGGGAGTTGTCAGAGGCATGGACCTTGGGGGTCTGGTGCCAAGAGAGTCCTTGGGCCAGCCAAGGACAAAAATCCTTAGGCCAGGGACCCCTGTTCTAATAAGAGAATGTGTTCTGCAACAAGAGAAATTTTTCTCACAGGACAGGGGCCTACTAAGAAATTGAGAGGCTTCCAGAGACATGATCTTAGGGCTGGGGCCTGAGCAGCCCAGCACCACCTACAGGTACTCCTTCCTCATTGTGATTCCTGCTCTCTCCATTTTTTTTTTTTTTTTGCAAGGCAATTGGGGTTAAGTGACTTGCCCAGGATCACACAGCTAGTAAGTGTCAAGTGTCTGGTCTGAGACCGGATTTGAACTCAGGTCCTCCTGACTCCACAGCTGGTGCTCTATCCACTGCACCTCCTGGCTGCCCCTCTAGCCATTTTCTTTAGACTCTGTATAAGCATCAGAAGCCTAATAGCCTCCTCTTGTATCTCCATTTGAAGAGAAGTTATTGATCTGTTAAGTACTTGGCACAAATAATTAAAGTGGTAACTCTATCTCTCATAAAAGAAAGATATCATAAGCAAGAGCTTTCCCTCAGTTCCTAGTTCAACTTATCCCGCCATATATAAATTGTTGGTAGGTCGTATCAACTTTAAATGTTACCTTGATCTTTTCCAGCTTCGTCTATGTGATGGAAATCCTTCAATGTCTGAATGTTAAAGAAGCCCTCTCGGCAAAGCTGAATGACTTTTTTGGACCCATTCTTGATGAGATAATCCATGAGTGTGAGGGACTTGTACACATGGCGCCAGTTCTTCCCATGGTCATTTAGTCTCTGCCACAGCATGTTCATAATTTCTGAGAGAGAAACTGTATTGAAGGTCAGGTCACTGATATCTAACATCAGCGAGCTTGAAGGACCCCAAGGGTCATTAGAAGTTGCTTCTCGGACTTTGATTTCTGCCTCTGAGTAATTTTTCACAAAGTTTTTCACTTGCCTCCTGAGTGCCATGGATGAGACCAAATTGAGAGGGGGAAGGTAGGGAGGAGGAAGAAAATGGAAGGGGAGCTGAGTGGCTGCTCTCCAGAGCTTTTGACAGCTAATAAGCTTCCTGCTTTGCTGCCCCCAAAAACAATGTATCAGTCTCCATCTTGTTAAGTTACCAAGTTCCTGCCGAGAGAAGAATAGAAAATGTTATTTATACATTTTTAAAATGTCCTTGTAGAAGATTCAACCAACATAAGAAATCCAAGTTCAGTTTCTAATTCAGTCACTTAGCGGCCTCAGTCAGAATGAAGGGGCGACAAGGTATGTGTATGCTATTTAACGGAATACAGGAAGTCTCTCTGGTCTTAAGTGTGCCACAGGCAGGGCCAATCAACCTTCGTAGATAGAAGCAGAGTGACTGCACCCAAAGTACGAGGAGCATTAAACATTAGGTCAAGCGGACAAAGAACCGAATAAGAAAACAGAGCTGACAATTGATGCTGGAGACATTTTGCCATTATAGAAATACCTAGAACAATTAAGATGATTAAAAAAAAAAAAAGAGGGCTGAATTGGACTAGGTGACCTGAGTTTGCATATTTGTATACCACATGACATTCAAATCAGATCAAAATTCAGAACCGGTTCTCATTTCTTTTTTTATTGATAACATTTGTTTTTACATTCTCTTCATTTCCAAATATATCCTTCCCCATTTGCCCAGGCAGCATTCCTCCTAATAAAGAATCAAAGAGAGAAAGGAACCAAGCCTACTAGCATACACCATGTTCCACACCCACAGCCCCCCACCTCTCTAAGGGGAGGGAAGTATACTTTATCATCTCTTAATTGGGACCAAGCTCGGTCATTCAAATCACACAGTATTCAGTCTCAGCTTTGTTTTTTTTTTATTTTAATCTCCATTTACATTATTTTAGTCATTAGCTCTTGGTTTAGGAAGCCATTGCAGAAGCACATAGCCTCCCCTCACAGGCTTGTGTTATTCTTCAACCCAAAGGAGATCTGACACATTCCAATAGAGAATCTAATTCTATTCTCCTCAACTGCAGGAAAAAGAAAAGAGGGAGCCATTGGAGAGTATAAGAATTTCTCTAATAAACCGAAACCACAGTAGCATCTCGGATGTGCTAAGTCTGTGCCCGTCAGCTTTCACGGTATACCCACACAACAGGAGGCACATTTAGGTTCAGACATCAAAGGGTATAGACCTTCCCAAATTTTTAATGATGCCTGTGAATTGTCAATTCACAGTTTTATGAAATTTCCTCCCTCCCTTCCTATTTTTCATGAGTTTGCATTAGGATGGGTCAGTCAGCTCGCAATTTCCCTCATGAGTCACCACTGAAGGCCGCCAAGATAGTGTATCAAATTGATTTCAAGCCCTGACAAGCATCCAGACCCAGCAAAGCTGAGACAATCTATAATCAGATTTTTAAAGTAAAACTGCACACACACAAAAGGAAAAATATTAGAATTCACATCAAATGTGTTTATACTCTCTATGCAGTTTCCTCTGGTTGTCCTTTTTGACCCCATCTTGGGCTTGATTGATTAATGTGAATGTTCAGAAAGGCTTGACTGTGAAGCAAAACCCCCAAACCGTTACCTCTTCCTGAGAGACAGAGAGACAGAGACAAACAGAGAGATAATTAACCTTTCTTATCAAAGTATGCACACCCTCAGATCAGCAGGATGGAAAATGTATTGGTTTAATTAAGATCTCTCAGGGAAACTATCACCACCCCTAGGAGACTGAAAAGAGAAAGGGGTCTTCATGAGGAAGGTGTGGCTCTTCATTTTTACAACTCTGCTTTTCTCTCTTGTTTGCACTTCAGAAAGAGGCAGCTTTTATCTGTCTCATTCCGGCAGTGAAAACAGTGATTTATAATGTGTTTCAATAAGCTATTAAAAATTTCAATCATGAAGGCTTTCTTTTTCCATTGTCTTTTTTTCTCTTCCAAATCTCACTTGATGCAGAGATTCACTGTGACATTGGTGATAGCAGCAAATATTGATCTGTTTCTTCACAAGTCTATTAAAAAACCCTGTTTGACTCATAATCTGCTGAAGGGACAACTCTGGCAGCAGAACGCTCTGCTTTTCTGTTTGGATAACCACCTATCTGCATTTCTGGGGACGGTCCTGGCCTTCGGAGCTTTCACCTACCATACATTCGCACACGTGTTTTTTTAAATGCTCTTCCTAACACAAAAAGACACCTCAACCAGCAACACCAGGACACTTGGCTTAATTGTTTCAATGTATTTGACACAAGGCATTAGCCACCACACAGAAAAAAAATTTAATGCAATCCCAAACCAGGGGGAGAACAAGCAAGTCTGACAACGGAAAATCGTATTCCCTGCTCATCAGGGGGCTGCTTAAACAAAGAGGAAGTACATTTTCCATTTTTCCTCATCCATTCAATCACTGGTCTTTTCTCAGGCCCCTAATAAGTGTTCATTTGATCAGTGCAAGCTGTAGATGACATTTGGGTTGATTATGTCTCAAGGGAATCTGTCCACATGGAGTTGCTCAATTGACAATATGACCAAACAGCCTTGACATTGTAATGGGTTGACATTTGAGACAAGATTAACAGTCCCGGATGGGATTTTTTCCATCCTCAGACCTCATTCTCACACTGCTGTATTCCTATAATGTCCTTAAATTTACTGTTCCACAAAATATATTAGGGGAACATCATGGGTATGTTTTGTGGCACTAAATTGATTTTGAATAGGCCAATTTTGGACCAGAAGATCATAGATTTAAAGTGGAAAGGGATGTTAGAAAGAATTTAGTCCAACCCTTGCATTTTTAAAATGAGGAAATTGAGACCCAAAGAGGTGGGACACTGTGTTATAAAGGTGGTAAGGAATGGAGGCATTTGAACTTAGAGACTGACTTCAAATCCTGTGAGCACTCCTCCTGGGCATGCTTCACAATAAACATTCTGCTTTTAAACAAAAACCGGGTTGTAAAATCGATGTAAATTCTCAACCATTAGCGGTGTACCTTCACAATCAAGAATTCTGAAATTCCTGTCTAGGCTCAGCTTTTTCTCATTCCGCCTCTCCCTCCTCTGCTGCTTCTCCCCGTCCCTGTGACCTCCGGCCCCTCTGCACAGGCCCTGGTCCTAGTCCAGGCCACCAGTTCTGCTCTGGCTTCCCAGTCCTGACCATCATTCCTGGCCAATGCTCTTACAATGTCCTCTCCTCTCCATCCCTGTCCTGCCTTGTCCCATGCATGCTCATGCCTTGGCCAGCTCCAACCCTAAACTACCCCAAAATCCATGGAACAGATACAATTATCTAATGGCTTTCGGTTTGTTTTTAGAGGAAGAAAGGGATATAAGTGACAGGCTGCTGGGGATCACAGAGCTAATAAGTGTCTGAGACTCATCCCCTCTCACCTAGTTTATTGTTAACAAGCTTCTAACTGATGTCCTTGCCTCCAGTCTCTGCACTCAGTGCATCCCACACACTGCTGCCAAAAGAGCTTTCCTTAAGCACAGCTCTGACCAGGTCATTCCCCTCCCTATTCTACCAGCTCTAGGGGCTTCGGATGGCCAAGTCCTCTGCTTAGCTGTTAAAGCCCTGTACCCTCTGCCCCAGCCTACCTGCCTCAGTGGACGTTATTCTCCACCTCCCCCATCTGCGTTCTAGCCAAATTATTCCTCACGCCCATCTCCCAACTCCATGCCTTTGCGCGGGTCATCCACCATGTCTGGAACGTACTCCCTTCTTACCTAGACCTCATCATGTCTCTTCCTTTAGGACACAGTTCAAGCACCACCTTCTGCAGGAAGCCCCCAAACAGCTAGAACACAATACCTTGTATTAACTGACTGATTATCCAATTCACCTGTCATTGGTGTGGGGGTGGGTGGTTCTTGATCCAAAAGTGCACAGCTCCTGCAGGCCAGCCCCTTGGGTTACTCCTGAACATGGAGCAGCTTAAACCCTTAGGAAGCACTCATAAACCCTGCAGAGCTGGCCAGAGTTCAGCCAGGCTGGCTGAACATCCCACCGTCAGGGGCATGGCCCAAAGTAGGACACAAGGAACCCCAGTGGCTTTCACACATCTTTGCCGTATCCCTTGTTTTAATATCAATAGATCAGAATAAATCAATCAACGAGGATTTTTACGCATTTGCTACATACCAGACTCTGCACCATAGACAATGGATACAAACAACAGCAACAATAAATATGACCCCTGTCCTCAAGAAGCTGACATTCCAGTTCTGGAGACAACACGTACATAAACCGGCACACACACAAGACACGCAGAGTAGGTGCAAGGTGCTGTCGGAGGGGAAGGTGCTAGCAGCCAGGGGTCAGGTCTCCCACACGAGGTGACGGTAGGGATTCTAGGGGTGGAGAGTAGGGGGAGCATGCAGGACAGCCAGTACAAAGGCAGGAGAGGAGAAACAGAAGTCCGCATGTGAGAAACGGCACGTTGGCCGGCAGGGCTGCCTGCAGAGTCTGTGGTGGGGAGGAAGGAGTCACATAGGAGGCTGAGAAGGTGAGAAGGGGGTAAGTTGTGAAAATCTTGAAAGGACACAGGAGGTTCTGTTCACTCCTAGAAGTAGTAGAAAACCACATGAAGTCAGCAAAAACTTTGACCCTCAGAAGTGGTGAGGGTCGTGATAAAAGCCTGGGCAGGCATGGTTCAGGAGGCCGAAGATGCGGCGTCCATCAAAGACTCCCTCCTAGCCATCCGGGGCCCCCAGCGAAGCCTCCCTCCTGGCCATCCGGGGCGCCCAGCGAAGCCTCCCTCCTGGCCATCCGGGGCGCCCGGCGAAGCCTCCCTCCTGGCCATCCGGGGCGTCCATCAAAGACTCCCTCCTGGCCATCCGGGGCGTCCGGAGAAGTCTCCCTCCTGGCCATCTGAGGCAGTCTCTGAGCAAAGGATCAGAGGGCTGGCCACAGCAAGGCCCAGATAATGCCACCAAAACTTAAGGTGGTGCTATCTGAATAGGAAACGGCCCAAGTGCTGTGGGAGTCACTGCTGAATCAACTGCACGTGGTCAGACGACAGGTTTATTTGTGGGACAAAAGCCAGAGTTCAGAGAGACAGGAAAAAATAAAACCAGTAAGGAGGCATGCCGTCCAATTGCAAGAGCTCCAGCGTGACCTGGACAAGTCATGGATG